AGAGAGAGAGAGAGAGAGAGAGAGAGAGAGAGAGAGAGAGAGAGAGAGAGAGAGAGACTTAGAGAGGATCGCACTCATAAGGTCTCTCCAGTATCCGTCGTTTGGCGATAACGCGAACGTCGACGATGTAGTATTAGAGTAGGATAAGCAGTTCTGTCCCCCGCTTGCAACTCGATTTTCGAAATCGTTCCCACAGCGGAAAGCGTTTGGCGAAATGTCTGGTGGAACGTTAGCGCGAAGCAGGAAACAAGATCCCGTATACATTCTATACGTTATACTCGTTTATATGCAGCGTCGCGCCGGCCTGCGCTCTCGGATATTTGGTATCTAACTTTCGAGGGTTGTATCGTTAAGTCGGCGCTTCTGAATTAACACCGGAAATGCGCGACGCTTTCGTCTCGGCCTCCGTTTCGGCGCGACCGCGGCATTATCGATTATACGAATGATTGCGCCTATATATCGTAATTTCTCGGTTTCCCGCATCTTCGCCGCTCTTTCACTCCTTTTTTCGTGTTGCTCCGTTTCCCTGTTTCGCGACCTCTTTCCTGGCCATTGATTCTCGATAGTGCACCCAGAGGAACGATAAACTCCATCAGTTTTTAATTTAGATTAACGTCGACTTCAACGCGCACACAACGACCTATGTCTTTTCTACTTACACGATTACGCTGTTTGATCCACAGAAGGACGGCTCTCACATCTGCCGGAAGCTCGGTAATTTATCCTTTCCAATGGTCTTCTTTTCAAGTCGCTAGGACGTTTGCCAGTGGAGTTATTGATGTTTGCATCGATCCCCATGATCGGCCGGCACTCACGCTAAAGCAGATTGGGATAGGTCGCTGCATGACGTCTGAATGAAAACAACAGCCGCATTTCACAGTGAGGTGAACAACCGCGACTGTGCGCGCTTGAGTCACGAAGTGGAGGTAATGAGCCGCGGAGTGGGGGTAATGAGCCGCGGAGTGAGGATGGCGAGCCTTGTCCCTGCTGCGTACCGCCACGTATTTAGTACAGAGTAAGCTGTGAACCATGAAGTAAGAGATAAGGAGATCGAACTTGATAGGGCGCGAGTAGAGAAAGTGATCCTGATTCATGTCCCTTTAATTGAAAAGGAATCCGCTGAAAGAAATAACTTCTTATGGTTGGGCGCCATTTATAAAGCAATAAATTATAGCGAGATAAAATATATTTGTCTCAATTTTATTCAATAATGTAGCTCTTTAGAGCTGCACTACTGAATTGATGCAATAAGAGTGAGACAAGTATATTTAACTCGCTCTAACTTATTGCTTTACAAATGGCGCCCAACCATAAGAAGTTATTTCTTTCAGCAGATTCTCTCTCAATTAGGGAACACTTTCGTTCAGGACCACTTTCGTTTCACGGAGTTCGACATCCTTCCCTCTTACTTCATGCTGTGAACATATGATTGACACAATTTCATGATTCCTGACACGCATGCTGATCGACAGCTTAGTTCATTCTCAGCACAAATCTTCTAATAACGTCGCGCCGGTCTGCGCTCTCGGATATTTGGTATTTAACTTTCGAGGTTGTATCGTTAAGTCGGCGTTTCTGAATTAACACTGGAAATGCGCGACGCTTTCGTCTCGGCTTCCGTTTTGGCGCAACCTGAAAGAACGATAGCGGTTCAGTGAACTGAACTGATGAGCAGCGTGCGTGTGAGAAGGCATGAAATCGTGGTCGTGCGACACGTGTCCTAACCTACCACACAACAGCGAGAGCACTAGCTGATCGAGAAAGTGCGGATCAATATGGACGTCAATAACTCCACGCTTGCAGCTTGAAACGAGCGTCATTGGAAAGGGGAGATTGCCGCGCTTCCGACGGATTTTCCATAGACGCTGCCTTGGTAATTACTGTATTACTGTGAAGTATTAATGAAGGAAAATTGGTTAATCAATGCGCGTGATACGACGAGCTCTGTAAGGCTGTAATCATACGATGCACACAATTTCATGCCTTCTTACGCACATGCTGATCGCACGTGCTCAGTTCGCTGCATGAATCGCTATCGCAATGAAAGATCTACGCAGTGAACTGAACTGAGCTGACGTGCACGTAAAGAAGGCATGAAATCGTGCGTTTATAGCTTGATTCCTTATAGAGTCGAATTCGAGATTAATGAGCACGATACTTAAAAATGTAGGATATTTAAAGATAGCTAAAAGTTGGTCAATCTATGCATGTAACGCGTCGGGACAAGTCCTGTAAGGTTGATTTTTTGCGAATATTCGAGATTCATGCGCACAAGATACCTAGAGATAGCTACCACTTTCCTAGCTGCTTTGTCAGCACAAATGTGCGCTTTTAATTTCCACAAATACATTTATATCTCGTACGCATTTTATATCTGCGATTGTTAGCCAATTGTTAGTAATGGCAACGAAATGATTAGCTCAGTTCGAGTTAGCCGTAGATTCAGCTGATACACTACTAAGTCATTTCTCCGCGTGTGCACACACGATCGCAGTTCGAGCGCGATTCGATTAGTGAGTAGCCATTACGAGCGTAAAAGTGCCATAAACGTATGATTTATTTGAAACCGCCGCGTCATATGAAAACACCTCGTAAAAGAGACGCGGATATTTCTCTTAGCGAGCGTACTGTGCCCCCGAAAGGCTTCAACGCGAATATAAATTCCAACAAGCCGACGACCAGGGGGACCAGGGAGTTCCTCAATGCGCTCGACAAGTCGTGTAATCCGCGATTTATTCGACCTCGGCCGTCATAAATTCGACGGTGCGTTATCCCCGTAACTGGGGGTGGCAAACGGATCTCATTTCAGCCATCGTGCTAATGCCGAGGAGAGAACGGAGAGATCGTCCGTCGTCCTCGTCTTCGTCGTCGTCGTCTCGCTTGAGAAGGCGGTTTGGCTTAACTCCCGGGGAATCTGGATCCGAAACTATCCGACGAACTACTCGCAAGACAGTTTGCCCAGAACCGGATTTCTCAGTCTCGGGGGATGCCACCCTTCGCCACCCCTCTCTCCCGCTCCCTTCGCCCCTTCGCCGCTCTTGTGGCACGTTCGCCCTCTTGCCCTCTCTTCTACCCCGGACCATTTCGATTTGAAACTTCGCCGCGTGTGCCTTCGCCGGTCGAATGACACGATGGCTCCATTATTGCGCGAGTGCTTTGGGGTATTACGTTATGTGGCGGGATCGGATTTCAAGTATGCCCCGTCGAAACTGTCGTGGAAATAGACCGAACGTGTTGCGTAGAAAAAGCTCGGCCCCGTCGCGAAAAGTGCGGATCATCGATAGCGGATTTACGGTCGAGCGAGTCAATGCGCGACCTCTCTTCTCGCCGACGATTCAGACCCTGCCCACCCCCAGACCAGCTCCCCCTCCCCCTCGCCGCTTCCACGCAGCGTTTGAATATATATCCTCGCGAGCAAATTTATTCTTCTTTTTTTCTTTCCTTGCTCGAATTGAATCCCCGTCACACAAGATGCGGCGCGCGCTTCTTCTTGAATCCGTCGAGAGATAGATACGGTCCTCATCTATCTTCGGATCCATCTAATTCACTTTTGGACGAAATTCCGCTCTCCCTCCCTTTTTCTGATCTTTCATCGAGGAATTTCGATTGCTATTTAAGGGCCTGTCGAACCTAAATTCGCGGAGAAATAATTTCCTGGCGATTCCTTCCGTTGAGAATTTCCGACTGTTATTTAAAGATCTAAACTCGCACAGGAATATACAGGCGAAGTTTTCTCTGCTTTTTTCCGCGTTACCGTGTATCTACGCCGGATATCGATAAAAGTAAACGAAAAAACAAGGAGTGAGAGAATTGTAGAATTTTCACTTAAACGTTGTTCCGACCGCGCTTATCAAAATATTTGAAGCGAGGCGAAATTATGTCGGCTGTCTTTAAAGGTAGATTCGCGGATCGCGTTTTCCTGCGGGACAGATGCGTCTAAACTCGCATCTCGCGATCCCTCCAAATGTTCGCCAAGTTTCAGCCGCATTGAAAATTTCGGATTTAAAAGTTCGCCTTGTCGGAGTCCGCAGACGAACTGTACTTCCCGAACTTTATTCCCGGCGATGCCGACTTATCTTCCTGCTTTGTAGATCAATTTGCGACTACCTTTTGAATTCGATTATCATGCGAAAGAGAATCAATGCTATTTTTTAAAAATAACGTTGAACATTTTTTACGAGAAATAGATTTACGAAAAATAGATATCTTTTCTCGTTTCTTACGTTTAAGTATATTATTTTAATAGTTTTCAAGTTTATTTTAGAAGGGATCAATAATTCTGTTTGCAATTTTTATAGTTTTAAATTCGTGAGTGAATTCGGAGCAGAATTCTATTTGCAAAAGTAAATATTAAAAAAATCAGAATTTTATATTAATAGATACAATCAAATGTCGATTTCTTTAAAGGTTTCCTATATTTTAAAACCAATTTTAAAAACTAATTTTTGTGGAATTGCAAATAGAATTCTATTCCATTTTGTCGTGAATTCATTTATTATCTCTAGTAATATATATATATATATATATATATGTGTGTGTGTGTGTGTGTGTGTGTGTGTGTGTGTGTGTGTGTGTGTGTGTGTGTGTGTGTGTGTGTGTGTGTGTGTGAAAAACTGCAAACACATAACAAATATAATTGTATTAACCTCATATTTTGTTAACAACGTTCGAATTAAACGTATTAAATACATATATGCGTGAGTATCTCTGAAAAGATGACTCGCAAGAGTGAATACTTGCAACGATTATCTGCATCTCGATAAATAAAAGAATTCGGGATTTATTCGCTTCACATTCTAGCAATGATTACTCTATTCTGGGGGCCGTCTATCCCGGTGAAACTGTGGGACTTATCCATCAAAATCTTACCTTCTCGGTGCGCGAGGAATAATCGCCTTTTAGCGAGGCACCGTTTTTCGGGACGCGCTTATCAAAAAACTTTCGCGACGATATTTCTGTCTGTCTTCGGGCCTGTGAGAAAAAAGTTCGCAAGTTAGAATTAGCGGGAACTTTACAGCCACAGTCATAAAGCACCGTGGAGTAGTTAAGCCGCATACGCGCTCACTGATCTTCCCAGTTCTCTATTTTTCCTCTTCTCTCTCTCTCTCTCTCTCTCTCTCTCTCTCTCTCTCTTTCTCTCTATTTCTCGTCTGGCGCGCACTGTGCATCCAGTTCCGATTTCCTATGTTCAATGGAAGTCATTTAATTCAGTCGCCGGTCGTAGACCGTTAAGGACAAATTTACCGTATGAAGGACAGTCGCGCGAACCGACGAAGCTGATCTTGAACGAAGCGACGATCGTGCGGAGGTATTCGCGGTGATTGACTCGCTCAACTCACCGTCCTTATTCAATTTTGAGCCGGGATAGCGGATATCGGTACCATCAGAGCGATACAAACAGAGCGCCGATTCGATCGTGGCACCGACGCGTCGGGCTCGACTGAAATAACTGACGTAGCCTTCTCTCGAACCAGTCCCGTATTCCCATCGCTCATTCGTCGCTAGACGCGATCATCTAATTCCGTCCTACCGATGGCTCGCAGAGATCGACGCAGATAGCGACGAGCTTTCGCTGCGCTTTTTTGCCCGCGCGGCAAATTAAGAGGAAAGGGCTCTCGCGCGAGATGGCCGATCGTTGCCCGCCGAGTGTCAATATCGCGTCCCGTAAGTCGGCGAAAGGGCCGTCATTGTAGGACGATTACTCGAGCCGGTGGCCACTCATGAATAGCGGCTGGCCGAGTGTACAAAAGCGCGTCACAGACGGTTGTCCCCTCGTGCATATTGCAAGGGAAGCCTCAAAATTACTTTCGGGCTCCGGGTAGTTAATGCGCGTCGCTGGAGCTTTAAATATTCCAATTGGCGAAGTTCGGTGCCGCGTCGCCGACAATGGCTGCGCCGAGAAAACTAAATGAGCCGCGTCGTAATTCAGTCTCACCTAGAGGAAGTTTTACGCGCGCGCGTCTCTCTGCCTCGAATCGCGACGTCACGTCACGTCGGCGCTTAGACCCGCGCACGCGATAAGAGCAGGAGAGAGCGAGCCTCGCGCCCTTTTTTCAGGCCAAACTGCGCCCCGAGGAGTATCTGTCGAAGGGTGGACGAGTCGCCGAATCACCTTGGCTGAGGAGTGCTACTGAAGAGCTT